ATACACATCCTTATTAACATGATAATTTTCATGTTCAAAAGAGTAATTAATCCTTTCAACAAGCTACCGAGTCAAGCTAGCTCACGAGCTTATCAAGCTGAGCATGGTCTAGCTCAAGTTTGGCTCATTTACTAACGAGTCGGCTCGCGAGCCGGCTTGTTAAATAACGAGTCGAGTGTCGAACGAGTTTTTTTCGATTCGAACGCCGAGTTGCTCGCGAGCGGCTTGGCTCATTTGCAGCCCTAGTCTAGAATATGACGTAAGTCTATGTGGGCCATGGCCCTCCTACCTACAAGCTGGCTCCGTCCTTGCCTCATAATAATCGTAATGAAATTATTTTAATAAATATAAATAGTAGAGTAAGATTTAGGAAGAATTTTCGTCAAAAATTGATAAAAACAAGTTGAAAACATTCCTGGACCGTGGACGAGACAGATTGAAAACCGGACTCAACCATGGCGAGACAGGTTGAAAACCCGGCTCAACCATGGCAAAGACAGGTTGGGGAAACATTTGGGGTGGGACCGGATGAGATGGATTGAAATCTTGTCTCGATCCAACCCAGACGAGTCGGGTTTTCAACCTGTTTGGCCCATGGTTGAGTCGAGTATTCATCCCCTATGTCAATTTTCTAGAAAAAATATTTTATTTTACCTCTCTTCAGAACAGGTGATGATCGGGATTGACAGAGCTTGTGCCTCCTGTTACGTAGCTGGATTCGTGCAAAGAGTCATGAATGAAGAGTATTTGTGTTGTTTTTGTTTGGTTCAATTGTGGTTTGGTTCATTGGGATAGAAGGGTGTGAATTGTGTTTGTCTTGGGGTTTACAGGTTTTGAAAGACAAAAAATAAAAAATAAGATAATTTCTTATGAGATTTAGTGCGATGTATAATAGATTCTAGAGAGACGAATATTAAATCCTTCCGATTTAGGTCGTTACTGTTTTGTCAAGCATATCAATGGCCTCAATCAAAGAAGGAAAATGTTGCAAGCTTGTAAGTAAAGGAAAGAAAATCAAAGACAACATAAAGGAGGAGAGATCCTGCAATCAGCAAGAACAATAAAGGAAAGAACTTCTCAATGGCTAGCTATGCTCAAAGATGCTGATTTGCCACCTAGCAAATCAACACAAAGAAGGAAGGTTCTAACGGCTGAAAAATTAGAGAAGAAATCAGATTAAGAAGATTGGATACAACAGTGCACAATGAGGCTCAAATGACCAACTCACTACAAATCAAATTAGAGGATTGAGTTCTCAATCAAATCAGCACAAATAGGGAAGGAATTTGAATGACTAACGGTCATATTCCTCCCTATAAAAGGCGACATGAAGAACTACCAATGGTAACCTTTCAAGAGATCAACAAAGCTAGCTAAGACAAAAGGGGATTTTGTGAGAGTAGCAAGGTTGATAGGAAAGGGGGTTTTCTCAAAGGGTTCGGGGAGAATTGCTTTGAGGGTTAGTGTTGGGGAAACACTGGTTTCGAGTTGCTGGGGAAGCAATTCGGGTTTGAGAAAAGAGAGTTAGATCAATCGGGTAGAGATTGATCAAAGGGCTCTTGGGTAGATTGCTTGTAACGAAGAACGTCAACGCTATATCATAGTGAATCGTCAGAGATTACACAACCGTGATTCTCTGACCGTGGAGTAGTCAGTATTGGGATCCTTATTCTCCCAATACTGGAAACCACGTAAAAATCGTGTGTTGTGCTCTTCCTCTGCTTTTCAGTTTCATTTCTTTGTGTGCTACTGTTTGTGTTCTGCTATGATCTTGGTTATGCAGGGAAACACGCTGTAAGAGCAGCCAAGGGAGACGACCTGCTCGAACTGGGTTGGTGAACTTATTGAAACCTGGTTTGGTTTATTTCGAGTCTAATATTCTGGGCAGAGCAGCTGGGTTCTATCATCAGTTCTTGGTGTTCATGATTTTGTTTGTTTAAATTCAGTTACAGTGCTGTTGTTGATCGAATACAAGGGAAGAGGGAAGTCTTGAGAGTTTGAAGTTAAAACTCCATCGTTTTAGTTAGTTGACTAGTTGGGCCGGGCTGATAGATTAAACATTTGGGCTTTAATTTCTTTGCTTGATCTGTCGAGTGTGACCCACTTGAGTAGGCTATTAAGGTAATTTGAAACCCAATCAAAGTAGCTGAAGGTAACGTGCTAGGCTTGGGCTTTGGTGATTAAGATTATTTAGTTATTTATTTTGATTGAGTTATAATTCTTCTTAGCACTCACTAGGTGTATTCCACGTGCATCTTTAGTCAAGGTGCTATTATTTATACATTATCAGGGTGTTAGAATTTGATTAACCAATATCTATTAGTTTCATCCAAAAGTGATCAAAAGACAGGTACAAAGTCTCGCGCTCGACGCAACCAACAGTTACATTATTTTTGTGTGACAACTCCCTTCGAATGACAAGATATGTTGAGATTGAATTTAATGAAGTACAAGCAAAAATCTTGTCAGTGATGCGCTCAAATGAGTTCAGGCATGGATGGCAATTCAATCGGGAGTAAGGGTAAAGGGTTTCCCAATCAGGGAGTAGGAATTCCTCAAGCAACCAATTTGATGGTCTAAGTAAGCTTTTACTTGCTTGTACAAATTAGAGGTGCATATATTGTTCGTCATTGTGGCAAGCCAAGCATAACATGGGATGACAACACGAAATCTGGAATCCTCATCACATTCGATAGATTATATAGCTTTACCAGAACCCTTTGCCATGGTTTACTCAGTCACTGGAATCCCTGAGCCCTACTCTCTACTAATGAAAACCCTGGGCCAGAAAAAAAGTGCAAAGATTCATCCAAAATTGAGCTATATCTTGACGTACTCTAATAAAAAATAGGTGTTGTTCCTGCAACAAATGCTTCATACATGAGCGTAAGAATTTTAGTACACAAATCTCCATCTAGAAAGATAATGGGAGTCCATATTAATAAAAAAAAGGTATAGGACGAGAGGAGTCTCAACCAGCCAAGTTTTTGCCTAGAGCCACTCTGGTTACTCATTATTCCCAATGATCTCCTTCCAGCTTGTCCAAGATTTCCTCCTCTTCCTGGAACCACCAGCACTCGTCTCAGGATCTGTTGATGCCGCAGCAGCAGCAGAACCACTTTCAGATTCTTCTGGTTTCTTTTTAGTTTTTGATCTGTTCCTTTTCTTCTTCAAAGCCTCCAACAATGGTATCGGACCATCACTTGTGTCTAATGGAGTTCGTGGGCTGCCTGCTGCCACGGGAATGTCCTCTGGTATTGCAGGCAGTATGTCATCAACTTTCATTGCTTCACCAACCTTCTTCCTGCTTGTGGTGGCTTCCTTAACAGGGGTGATCGGGTTGATGGCGGAAGCATCTGATTTGGTCGAACGAGTATTTGGCTTGGGCTTTGGTGGGCATATTGATTTCACATGGCCCTTTGAAGTCCCTCGCTTTTGGTTCCTGAAAGAACAGAAATGGCATGTATAGATGACATAGTTCTGTGGTGGAATGTGGTTTGTTTTGTTCTTGCCTCGACGCTTTGCTGCCTTTCGTCGATTCTTCTCGATCCGGATTGTGCAGTTGAAGCCAGGCTGAAGAACTGACTCGCATCTGTTGTGAAACAAGATAAAGATTGAAACTTTGTGTCAGTTTTCATGGATTTGGCATTTGGCAATACAGTTAGAATGGACTGAAAGCAAAAACATTGCTATTCTAATAGAAATTTGTAGAGCTGGAATGCTTGTTTAATCCTATCATTTAATGGTTAAAACCCCTAGATTTCTAGAGCCAGAATTCACTGATCCAATTCAAGAACTTTATCTCTGAATTTCTCGATATGCTCAAACACTTCAGAAGAAACCATATTTGAATCTATTTCTGAACGTATAGGCAACAGAAGAAAAACTTAGCCGGCATAAAGGGTTTCAAAGAACGATCAAATTCAGACCGCAAAATGCCGAATTTCTGAAAACAGCAGCTTGAACAGCATTCTAGGACAGTCAAGTTACAAGAAGAGCACAAACCTTTGGCATGAAAACAGAGAAGGGTCAGGTGGGACGCCGAGAGCTTCTGCAGCGGTGGCGAACTGGCGACCAAAGAAAGCGCCGAGAGAAGGGATTGAAGCTTCCCCTCCAGCCCATACCGCAAGCCTTTGAAGGTGGTCGAGTTTCAGCATCGCCTTGGAACTACGAGGTGGACCCTTGTCCTGCGACCTTCCGGCAGGCGCAGTAGTTTGTAGCGGGTTCGTCGATTTCTTTCTCTTCGCCATCGGCGGTGTTCCGTTCTGGGCCAAACGTTGTCTTTTCAGTTGGGAATTTCAACGAAGAACAGGTTATGGGCGAAGGCAGCCGCCGTGCCGAAGGAAGTGAAAGGGAGCAATAATGAAGAATCGGGGGACCAGGTTTTTCCCTTTATCTCGTCGCATTTCGCTATTTCGTCTGGAAAAGAAAAGAAGAAACTGTGTCGTTTTGGTCCAACAGCACACAAAGAGCAACAGAACTCCATGGCCGAGGCGGCGAGGCCACTTCACTGTGAGGCGTGAGCTAAAAGAGGATAAACCTCGCTTTTCCAACTTCTGAAGGGTTTTAGCTTTAGAACAAGCGAGAACAAAGCTCTCATCTTTGGCGCTGGCTCTGCAAATCCGCGAGGTACGAACTTTGAATCCCTCCAATGAATCCAATTCTTCGTCAATCTAATGTTTTGCGTGCAAGAAGAACTTCTGGGTTCCAACAGTTTCCAATCTATTACCCGAATTCGCGCTCTGTCAATGAAAACAAGCTCTCGGTTCGTTTGGTTTGAATCAATCCCTGCAACCTTCTAGCCCGATTTGATTTCGAAACCTTCCATCTCTTGTGTTTTCACCATTCGCTTTGTGCGTTTGGTACAAAGCTGGAATTGAATCTTTCGAATTTAACACCCGAATTGCTTTACCATGTTTGATCTCGTTATTTTGTGCATAAATTAAGCTCATTTTGCCGCAGGTGACCCGTCCTGAGAGCATCTGTAAAAGAAAATGGCCATGGCAAGTTTAACAGCTTCACCATACGCTGCCTTCTTATTATCACCCACCAGAAGCAATGCCAAGAACCAGAGTTGTACAAACAACCGACGCCTCAGCATAAGAGCAGTCCACCCAGTGAAGTCACTGGAGGAGCTCTACCAAGTGAAAGTAGAAAGGAAAGTGTCACCACAGCGGCTGGCTGAGCTCGGTGTATCGAGATGGTCAATGTGGAAGACCGGGAAATGCAGGCTGCCGTGGGACTGGCAGGTAGACCAGCTGGTCTTCATCGAGGAAGGGGAGGTGAGAGTTGTGCCAGAAGGAAGCAAAGGGTACATGCAGTTTGTGGCTGGTGACCTTGTTCGTTATCCGAAGTGGTTCGAGGCTGATCTCTGGTTCAATGGTCCGTACCAGGAGAGATACAGCTTTCGCGCTTATGGTGATGATGACTGCTAGGCACGCAGCAATGCTGCAAACGATCTGCAAATGGTGCGACGGAAGTATGAGGTTTTGGAAGAAGTGATGCCTGGAGTATGTGTTTGTTGTATGATAGTTCATAGTGGTAAGTTTTAGAATGTGGAATTCATGACGGGCACACTTTGAACCTACAGACCTAATGCAATCTTTTGGTTCTTGTATGAGGGCAAATAGAAAGCAGCAAACTTTATTGGAATCTAAATTCTGAAAAGAAAAGAAACATACGCATTAAACATCTCATAAGGCCATTACGCTGCAGCACAAGGCATTTAGAAAGTCTCACAGAAGTATAAACGAATGAGGGGAATGGATTATGGAAACAATATTTCTTTGTGTTAAATTAATACAGGAACAATAATGCTACCAAAAAAAAAATACAGGAACAATAAAAATATTATCAGGTAGAAATCCCAAATAGTTGCTACCTTCTATCATCAAATCCCATATAATACACACACCTCCACTGAGATTGTACCCTATCTATCACAAGGAACCACAGCTGTTTTCTTTATCCCCCGGGCAACATGGCTTTATACACTGAGAAGCCAGAGGAGAAGTGAGACCAGGAAAAAGATTTCCATCATTAGCAAATCAATGAGGCCACCACCAACCTCTCATCAAAGGATCCAAAAGAGTCTGCAACTTTGCAGTTACTTGCTGTTGTTCCTCAACTGGCACTCGAACCCCGTTGACTCGTTCCGCTTGGAATAGCAACCGAGGTGGCGAACCTCGAGACGAGCACAGCAGCATTGGTTGTCACAGATTTGGAGGCCGCAACGTCTTCCAACTTCTTCCAGATGACTTGTCGCTTCTCTTGCGCTTCTCTCTCCTTGGCTTCATCTTTTTGGAATTTTGCCAGGCACTCCTCAAAGAGTTCTGGGTCTGAGTCGGAGAATATCTTCCGTACATTTAGCGTCAGGCTCTGAACGGCTTGGTTCCAGTGACCCCTTGTGTTTTCTTCCAGTGCTGGGAAGATTATCGGCAGTATCACTTTCTGGTTCTGAGTGATTAGATTTCGTATGTGATCATTGTTCCATAGAAACAATGCTCGTTCAGCCACCTGCCAGAGAAAAATGTCTCCAGTTACTTATGCACCATATCCAGAAAAAGCGTGCACTCGAGATCTAAAGATGAGAAATCAATGTGTACTATTCGTTACCTATGCACCATAGCATATAGAACAGTGAAAATAAACCATGCAGAAAGGCGCAGTTCATTACTAAGAGAGTCTTGCGTTTCTATGAAGTTTAAGAAATAAAGTGAATTTTGTAGATAAAATTGTGTAAGAATGGATGTAACACTAGAATATAGCGTTGATTTTGTAGGAACTGCAGTGTTGAACCTACAGATGTATTATTATTGAAATTAAGAATACATATTAACATGTATTCAGGAAATACGCGTGGGCTGAAAAAGAAGGATTTTAACACCAGATTCACACAAGAAAATGGATGAACTGTCAAAACCATCCACTCCATCATAACCACAGGAAATAAACCTGGGCTAAAGGACCCTTAAAAATATGAGCTAACTTGTATAAAATAGTGCAATGTTTCTGCTGAAAAGAAAGAAGTTAGAAACTTGGCTAGTATGCCAACTAGAATGCTGATTATAATCAGTAGAAATGGAACCCACTTCAAGCGGAGAATATCATGAACGCCCCCCAAACCGGTGTGTGTGTGTAGGGGGGGGGGGGGGGGGGGGGCGTAAGAAAACTAAGAAACTTCAGCATCACCTAGTAAATAGATATATAGCCAGAGTAAGAAAGGTTTTATCATCTATATTATCGCAGTCCAAGATAGATATAACTATTTCAAGGATACTAGACATACCAAACAAATAGCAAATAGCAATAATAAATTAACCCAATAACCACAGCTGCTGATGCAGATATCTCTACAAGCTCATATAGACACCTTGATTCAAGGACCGAGGGGAAAAGGGAGCAAACACTGGTCTTGTTAACAGGGGAAGAACCAAAGGATCAGATTGTAGTCATACTTGGTCATGTTGATTTGGAGATCAAACACACCAAAAAAAAGCGATACCCTAATTCTTAGCATTGTTACTAATAATTTGTTAAGAAGTTCCATAAGCAAATACATTTATAAAGAAGTTCCATAAGCAAATACATTTACCAATAAATGTTCTGAACATCATATATCTATAAGAGACTGAGTAGAAGCATCAAATAGGGTAAGAGGAAAACAACCCAGAAAGTTGGGTGTTACGAAAGCAGCGGGGGACTGGCTGCTTGGGATGATAAACAGGAACTAAAAACTAAAGCCAGCAAGACAACTGAGTTTTCGTCACATAAATATACCTGAAAATGTGAACTGTTGAGGCAGCGAGCAATTTGTCGGAACAGTGGGACCATACAGCGCTGAAACTCTGCTCCTTGAGTAGCTTCCAAAACTTCCTCTAACTCACCAAGGAACATCACCTCCTTAGAACTATTAGTAACAGGCCAATATTTCAAAAGACCACGAATCACGGTATCAGCCAGCTTGAAATCCTTCTCAACAAACTGAGTAATGCTGTAGGAGAGCTGCTGGTGATACATGGATATACACTTTGGCTTGTGAAGTGGAATCAATGCACGAACAAGAAACAACTTATGTTCTTCCTTCAATGGCAAAGCAAACCCATTAATAATGCTGCCCAATATCTCCAGCAACTCTGCAATCCCGTTATGCCTCTCTGTTTCAAAAATGAACCTGTAGAAGATATTGTTGATGGACTTCCGGATAAAAGGGCGATGCACCATGAATTTCCCATATATACGATGCAATATCGTCTTCAAATACTCCCTCTCTCTTTGATCCTCAGAGTCAAACAAGTCGAGCAATCTCAAAACAAAAGAATGGTCGATGTATCTCTTGGCAAGCTTCGCATCAGTCTCTGCCGAGGCCACGAATCTAAGTAGAAACTCGTAAACAATCTGAAGATGAGGCCAAGCGGGTTCCATAGTCAGCTCTTCCTCTTCCATATCATACATTTCAAGTATCTTGTTTTCATGATTCGTGGCGGGAAGAGTTCTGAAGAGATTAGAAGCAACCATTTTGGTAATCTCTTGCATTGCTATCTCGTTGAACTTCATCGTTGCAGAGGAAACGTAATCGACTAGCTCGAGCAAAGTCTGCCGCTTTATGTCTTTCTCCTTGAGATGCTTAGTTGGGTCACTGAAATCGAATACAACACAACACATTTGCAGCTTTCTGATGAAGAGATTCAGCTTCTCCGTATTAGGAACCTCCCGGAAACTAGGCAATGCCTCATAAGCCCCAGAAGCCAGGGCATTGACTGTATTGAGCGGCACTCTTTTCCCTTGATTGACTTTGTTCCCGTTGTTCAAATGTGATGCCCCTGAACCTGAATTGGCCGATTTCGAAGCCGCTGGAGCTGGTTTTGAGCTGTTAATGGAATTGGCTCCATAACCCGAATTGACAGACGAAGAAGAATAAGCATTATTGAACCCACCATCACTGTTACTGTCGTTACTCGAAGATTTCGAAGGTTTGCGAGGTAACTTGCCCAATATCTGTTTGATCATCTCTCTTGCCCCGGATAGAAAACCCTAACCCTCCTCCCAACCAAATCCACGCGACCTAAAATCAAAATTCAACACTTACAAAAGCTCAAAATCTCCCGTAACTACACCTTGAATTCAACGGAAACCCCCAACCTCGAACAGCAGACCATCGACAACTCAGAAAAGGAGGAAAGAATCAATCTTCACGCAGCTGGCAGCTCCATCATTTCCACCACTCATCAGCTGGTGAAGTTGTATGCATATGCAAACACAGACGAGCTTCGAATTGAAGGGAGCAACGAAAGAAGGACGAGAGCAGCTTTTGACACTTACACATTCAAGAAAAAAGGATGAGATCCGTGAGGAAGAAGAGACTGGAGGAGGCAGAAAGGAGAAGCCAAAACCCCAAGCCCCAAAATCGCAACTTTTCGGCGAATTATTATGATCTGGGAAATGGAGAGGATGGGTAGGGAAATAATTAGAAAGAAACCCTAGAAAATAAAATTCACTTCCTTTTTTTCAAATGGGTTGCCTGCCCCTGGCCCCAATTCGTTTTGAGAGAGAGAGAGAGAGAGGGCGAACAGGAAAAAGAAGAAGTAACAAAAGACTGAAAGAGGAATCAAAGAAACACAAAAAATAATAATTAATTGGTGAACAAATAAACGAAAAGTGTAAAGGAAAATATAACAGAACTATTCTCTTCTCTGCGTCAGTCTGGCGTTGTTCTGCTTTGCTGTGTGCGTGTGTTCATTTAACAAGATTAATTGCTGGCAGCATTGCAACAAAAACTGAACACAAAACTTAAGAGCAAAAAGAAGAAAAAGAAAAAAGAACAGACAAAAATTATAGAAAATAGTGAACCAGAAAATTAATAACACGCTGCAAATGAGTCGACCTGTTCGGGAGCGGATTGACGTTCGATTCGCAAAAAATTTGTTTGAAGTTCAATTCGTTTACTAACGAGCCGAGATTGAGCTAAGCCTTCTGTAACTCGTGGAGCTCGCGAGCTAGCTCGACTCGGTGGCTTGTTGAGCTTAACTCGTGAGCTGGCTCGTTTAGAGCTCATGAGATGTATCAACTCTCAACATTATGTCAATATAGTCAACTTAATTACCAACTTATGAGCGAATCGATCTATATGAGTTTGAATTTGGTAATTTATAGGATTGTTAAATTATATATCTCACCCTATATGAAGTTTAACACGTAGATTATGCGAGAAAATATGTCTTATTTAATTTTAGGCAAAATACAGCTGTATATCCACAACTTTCAGCTTTGTGACAAATATATCCACAACTATCGAAATACACGATATAATCCAAAAATTAGAGGGTCGTGTGACAAATCTATCCAATTCCGTCTGAAACTTTAACGGCGTCTCAGACGGCGTGGAATACACTAACGGAATGCTGACTCATCACCGTATCACTTGCCACATAAGCCA